TTATTATTATTATTATTATTATTATTATTATTATTATTATTTCTAGTACATTTACGGGCTTTTCTCACTCGTGTGTGAACGTTAAGTGCGCTTATTGTAAATTTGCAATTAAGGTAATTATGTGTGAAAGCCATTTGCAGAATCAAGGTTTATTTTCCGTTTATTTTTGAAATGCCTCATTTCCACATTATTTTCGCTTTCTGGCCCACGTGTGATAACGTCCTAGGTAAAGCACCAAAGGCAGGAACTAGATTCCTTCTTAACTAGAATAGCAGCTGTGTTGTTGTGTGCCTCCAAATTGCGTCTGACTTATGGCAACCCTAAGGCAAACCTATCATGGGGTTTTTCTTGGCAAGACTTTTTCAGAGGAGGTTTGTCATTGCTTTCCTCTGAGGCTGAGAGAGCGTGACTTGCCCAAAATCACCCAGTGAGTTTCATGGCCAAGCAAGGAATTGAACCCTGGTCTCCAGAGTTGTAGTCCACTATGCAACTTTGGCTCTCTGAACAGCAGCTATAAAACCTATGTCACACATCCCCTTTGTTACTTCTTTTGGAAAACTTCTCACATTATGGTAAATATTAACCATCTATTAACTAAGCTATGAGAGCCAGCATGGCATAGTGGCTTGAGCATTGGACTATGACTCTAGAGACCAAGGTTCGATTTCCAGCTCGGCCATAAAACCCTCTGGGTGACTTGGGCAAGTCGCATGCTCTCAGCCTCAGGCAAAGGCAATGACAAACCTTCTCTGGACAAATCTTGTCAAGAAAACCCATTATAGGTTTTCTTGAAGGTTGCCATAAGCCAGAAATGATGTGAAGGCACAACAACAACAACAACAGCAACAACAACAACAACAACAACAACAACGGTCAGTCTAGAATAGTCTTTAAGGAACCCATGCACATTAAAATTAACCTGCCTTGAATCCCATTGTGCAAGAAAGGTGGGATATAAATCCTTGAAATAAAAATGAATAAATAAAATAAAAATGGAATTTCATTCCAGATTTATTGTCGATATCTAAGAGTAGGAAAAGAATTCAGGAAAGGTTACCTTTATATCCATTTCATTACTGTTTCCCTCGACCTCATTTCCATGGACTTCCAAAGCTGCTTCTGCATCTCGGCGATGGAACTTTGTTATAGGTTTCTGATGGCCTTTTTGCTGCAAGAAAAAAAAAATCAGACACAAATTCTATAACAAATTATTGGCTGTCTAGAATAAAGGCTTTATGATGGCTCCAGTGAAGAGAAGTACCAATGCTTTCTTGGTACTATGTACCTGCATCTTCGATTGTTCTGGACTTAAAAAGCTGGAACCAGCGACTGTGGTCTCTATCCAGAGTGAACAGACAAGGAGTGCTCCTACCATTAAGCTTCGGATAAACATTATTGTCTTCCAAAGGTGCCTCAGAGACAGACAACCAGCCTGTAGCACACATAAGGTAACACACATTAAAACCATGGTGTTTTCTAAAGCAACAAATCTTTAATATTGTGTATCTTGCACTAATAAATTAGTCAAAGAACCTGCGTCCGACCACAACCAAAACAAAAAGCCGACTTTGAGAATGACATAGATGTATTTACAAGCGTTCTGTTATTATACCATCATTACATTTGTCATTACATATCATATCATATTTATCAGAACACAAAATTATGGTGTTATTATTAGAGTAAGGGGGTTGCAGACTGCCAGAAATAGTGCAAGTTGAGTCCACTTTTAGGGTTAGTGCAAGGGAGTCATGGGAATTGGTTTTTTTCTGAGACATTGAGCCTTCTCTGTCAGAGAGCTCTGGTGCCACAATAAACTACAGTTCCCATGATTCCCTAACCCTAACCCTAACCCTAAAAGTGGACTCAATTCACACTATTTCTGGCAGTCTGCAACCCCCCTAAGTAAAGAAAAATAATCCCATTAATACCACTGAATATAAATTTTACTGCTGTGATAATTATAAGACACAAAGCCAATAAATATAAAATTGCACATTACGGTTGCCCCTCCATTTTCACGAACTTCAA